ACAAAATATTCATAAATATATGCACATAAAATAATGAATAAACTATTTTATTAAATAAATAATAAATATCCTATTACATCTCATGCTTCTAGGACACCGTTCCCAACAGAACAAGCATTCAGTACAACCGGCCGAATACTTGAAGAACGGAGAAACGCATTGCAATAGGATATTGTTGAAGCTTTGGTGTGCATCAAGGATTGAGATCGTTCCGACCAACGCTTACACGATACAATCTCACTAGCAAGCCAAGAATGGATCGACGAATTTAATAGATTAACTTTTGACTTTCAAGACGATCCTTTTGCTTCAAATTAAATTTTATTATTGTAATTTGTAAATATTTATTTACTTGTATAGTGTTATTGTAATCTTATATAGACTTTGTAAGTCCATCAAATTTGTAATTCGTCTCACAATAATTGCACTCTTTTTTCCTTACCAAGTTTTTATCCCAATTGGGTTTTTTTTGTAAGGTTTTTAACGAGGCAATCATGAATTACAAATTTAAAAATCAATAAGGAAATAATTTTTTTTATATAGTTCGTGTGTTCATTTTAAATTTCAAATTGTAATATATGTAATATATATCTATAATCATATATAATATAAAAAATATTTAAAAATTTGGACATTTTCGATCGGGTTCGGGCAGCCTGATCGGGCACGGGCAACTAAATGCTGCCCGATGCCTGTCTAAGGAGAAAATCGAGTCGGGTCAGGAAGCTTGAAAATTCAGGCAGTTCGGGCTCATTCATCAGATACAAATTTAAATTTTTCGGTAGTCGCAGGTGGCCCGTCCAAAGTTTCACTAATTGCAAGCTTAGAAAATGCAGTGTTCCTTCAAAAAGAAAAATTGCGATGTCAAATACAAAAATATTAAAAAAACGACATAAGTCTTTAGACGACAATGACGTACGAAACAACAATATGCATCATAAACGACAATATCCCAAAATAACATGCACGACAGTGAACTTGGGAAACGAATGCGCATTATTGACCACAATCAAACGACAAAACCTATAATAAACGATGGTAACATCAGAAAAGACATAGGGATGTCATTGAGGCGGGACGGGGACATGCTGGAGTCCTTCTCCGGCCGGCCCTCTCATCTTCCGGCGCCACAAGTCCAAAATCGTCGCCGAGTTTCTTCACCAACAACCTCTGCCATCCACCTCCAATATCCGCTCTCAATTGAGTCCCCCAACTCCACTAATCCTTGTGTTCAAAATTGTGGAGCTTGTCTTTGAAGAGGCAAAAGAAGATTGAAAGTGGAAAATTTTGTCAAATTTGTGTTATTTGTCTAATTTGACTAATAAAATCACTCGTGTATTTGTTGGAAATTTATGCGATTCTAGTAACCCAGTCCACAACCTTCAAGATCTGTTCCCACCCACCTCGCAATCCAGCCAGCCCCGACCAAATCCGATGACGACCTCTAGAAGGTGAGGTTTCGTAACAAGTTCGGTGAGAGAGAAGAGGAAGAGAGAGAGGTTTCCCTTTTCATTTTTTTTATCTTAGTTTTTTTTTTTTTTTTTGAAAGGAAACTTGTGAGATTTCAATGAAAGGGAGAAAAATCATTACAGACAATATTCATAATCCAATTTGGTATCCTACTAATCCAACAATAGGATGAGCCTGATAAGGGACCAAACTTTGCAATCTCATAGGCTACAGAATTGGCCAATCTTGGCACATGGAATATTCATATCAGAAGAGAGAGAGCAAATACTTGCAATAATAGGACCACTAAGACCCATCACCTCCTTCTTCGTGACACTTTTTTATCACTAATGCAGCACCGGATTTAGCAGTATGAATCTTCCATCCTAGCTCTGCTGCGAAACGAAGGTTTTCTTTTTCTATTTAAAATAACTTTTTGTATTGTTATTTTTTAATATTTAATTACTTTGATATATTTAAGATGTGATATATCAATAAATCTGTTAGGTGTGTTTAGTTGGAAGTAATGAAAAGGAAAGGTTATTCCATCTAATTCTATCATTTGGTTCCTTTTTATCCTCAGAAAGGGCTGCGTAGAAAATGCCTTTCCATTCAGGCCTCACCACATTTTTGTCCAAAATCTCCCCGATTGCCTTTTACTCCCTCGACCATTTCATTCGTATCGAGCTCCACCGGATCTCCTCAGGCGGCCGCTCCTCTCATTCGCGCTTCATTTTCTTCCTTCCTCCAAATCTCGACGTCTCTTTTTCCTTTTAATCTCCTCCTCTGATTCGGATTTCCAACCGAAAGGAAGAGGTTCGCGAGGTTCCGAGGCTGAAATTGGCCAAGGAAGAAGAGCCACAAAACGATGATGTCGAAGAAGAAGAGCTTCTCAGCGATAGCGAGCTTCCATTGAAGTCCGGCTTCTTGTTCTATCCTATGACTCCCACTTCCTTTGTCGTCTCCGATGCCCTAGACCCCGATTTCCCCATTATCTACGTCAACAAAGTCTTCGAGATCTTCACCGGCTACCGCGCCGACGAGGTCCTCAGCCGAAACTGGTACCGATTGTCTCAACCCTTTCCCTCCATCTATTTGTTTCCTGAGAAAATAGCGACGGAAAGTGTTGGAAATCTTGTTTCTTTTTTGTTTTAATATATTCTGGCTTTTATGTTTATGTTGTGTTTTGTTGGCTGTGGATGATGTTTTTGTTTTGTTTCCTTTTTTATGAAGCTAGAATTGATTGTAGCAATTTTGGATTTTTATGAACAAATGCTCTTCTTTGAAACAATCTAAACTGCGTCTACTGTGATTCATTTTATTGAGACCCATTTGTGAATTTTTTTACTTTTTTTTTTTTTTTTTTTTAATTTTTCTTTTGTCTAGCGTTTGGTAATCTGGTCTTTGATTGTGCTGGAGGATAAAAGGATCAAAATTTCTTAGGATATTAAATGAAATGGCCGGTCTAAGTTTAAAAATTCTATAGCTTTTTTATGTTCTTGTTTCGAAGTTTGAAACAAAAGCCCCTTTTATACAGTTGGGGGTAAGAAATTTGTTGACCCATTACAATGCTTTAACTTTCTCTAATTTGAGCGTTTCTATTTTGATGGAGGAAAGTATATGAAGCGAGAAATTTGTATCTTGTGATTACTTATTAAAAAAAATAGAGAAAAAGAAATCCTCTTTTCTACTGCAGATTTCTTATAATCTTAATTTCAGATAAAGACTTATGTCACGGGGTGATTTATTCTGTTTTTCATTATTTTTACCTTTTTTTGGTCAGTTCAATCTATATGTAGGGGCTGAGGCACTTTTTTTTGCATATACTTTTTTTAGTTGCGGCCCTTTTTCTTTTTTCTTTTTTTTGATTTAGTAAACAAGGGCGAGACAAAGGAACATTTGGAGGGTCCTCTGTACGTAGGTTGATATCTTTGTTCCATTAGAGAAGGATTATATGTGTGTTCGAAAGAGTATTTGTTGTCTTTTCAGATTGATTAATGCTTTATTTTCTATTCTTGAGCTTATTTCATATATATATATATATAT